TAAGCAGCACCATTGCACGAACTTCTGACAAAGGAAAAAGGAAATACGACATCTCTTTGACATCTCTACGATGTCTCTGAACAAAAAGAAAGCATCAGTATTGATTGGGGCAGCATTGGCATTGGCTTTGATATTTATAATCTCTACTTCTATCTATACTAATAACGACCACAGCAAATTAAAATTGAACTTTATAGACCACTACTTGGGGCTGTTTGACGAGTCTTTCTAGGTAGATCATTCAACAGCCCAGTAGACAAGAAGATTACTGAGCTTTTGGGGGTCTTGATTTTAAGGATCAAGATTGTATGGGTCTATCGAACTGTTAAAAACAGTTGAAAATGCTATTTTCGATGTGAAAAGACTAAAAGCTTCATTTGAAACTTCCTAATTTTTGGCTTGTCTTTTTGCACGCTCATCTTTGTGTCTTTCGGTCCACGCAATACCGAATGAAAAAAGATTTTCACAAACCGAAAAACATGCCAAAAAATGCACCAAACACCACCAACAGTAAGTCAATTACCGTTCTCACCTCAGGTCAGCACAAGCTATGACATCTGGGCTCACAAATGATTTGATATATCGATAGAGTCCGGATCTCCTACCCACGAGAACCCTGTCCACGTTTATCGTAGTCACACATTGAGAATATCTCATCCTCTGCATAGTATTATGCAGGGGGAGATATTCCCAATTCACGGGGGGTGGTATATTGTGGGTAGGCGTGGGTAGAAGATCCAGAGTCATATCGATATGCAACATTAGTTAATGCCCGTTTGGAGGGCTGAAGCACAGCCGCTTCTGACTTTCCAAGGTGGGCCCTATACAGACAGTTTTTAAGCCATGTAAGCATGTTTGCTGAAAAATCCAAAGAAGTTGTAAGTCATTTTTTGGGCTGTCCACTTCAGCCTTTCTCAAAGTAGCTGAATCAGCTTAACAGTCCTCACAATGGACACTATGGAGATTTCCTACAACTTGAATGTCTTTTCATTGTTTTTGAAATTATCATATAAGCAGAAAAGTAGAAACATGTTCCTAAACTGTATTTTTGCTTTGAAATGGAAAAAAGTTATTTATTTATTTTTTCAAAAAGCAGTCCAAGTTTTGAAACAACAAAAAATACATATATAACCAATAACATGTTTTCTCTTTTCTGTTTTAGGCTCAGTTTGGGAAAGAATATAAATACAAATATGTACAATGCAAAACCTTGTATAGTTATTTTAAAATCTTGTATTTGCGCTGTAGAAATTTATATTTACACTTTTTCAAAATAGAGCCTTAAGATCCAATCTATTTTTAAATTGGGGTTTTCATATATTCTTGGGATTATAGCTGATAAGGGCAACTTTTGGGCCCTAATATCAATAAAATTAATACTTTTAATAAAATTTCAAAAATAGGTTAACTTTTTTAAAATAATATTAAATAAAGGCAAAAATACTGTTTATCTTCTTCCTCTTGCAGATCATTCATTCCGCCGCCGCCTCCAGCAACGCCACCGACAATGCCTCCGCCCACCTCCGCCTTTGCCTCCGGAGGTTCTTAGAGTGACGTTGCAAAAGCCCCCCAGTCAATGACAAGGTCCCAGTATGTGCTTCCCACTGCTGAAATGGCTGAAGTTGTCACTACCAAGATTTTCCAAATCTCTACCTTTTGTTGTTGTAAGTAGGGGTGGATTCGAGCCGAGCCGAGCTGAATAGTATGAGGCTCAAGCTCGAGCTCGACTCGAATAAAAAACTCATAAGCTCGAGCTCAATTTCAGAAAAAATGTTTTATAAAAAAATTATATATAAAAAATATTTTTTATTTGATATTTAAAATTAAGAATTATAATATTTGTATTATATATTATTTTCTATAATTTTATTATATATATATATATATGTATATATTCGAGCTCAGCTCATTTATTAATCGAGCTTGTGAATTGGACTCGAGCTCGGTTGAAACTGAGTCGAGCCGAGCTCGAGCAGCTCATGAATAGCTTGGCTCGTGGCCACCCCTAGCTGTAAGTTGTTCTCATGACACGACCACAATCGTTGACAAGTACTTGAGCGCATTGTATGCTTGCATTCAGTCTTTTTCTTTGTAAAAGTGTCAAGCACACTAATGAAATAGAAAGTGTTGTAAACGCTATTGACGTTGCATTTGTGTTCTCTCTTTTCATAATTTCCCCAACCATAGTAGCAGATGTACAGTTCCAGACTTCTAATTGCTTGGACTTGTCAAAACAAGCATAACAACATACGCACCACTCGTTAATTAACCAACTGGCCTGAAGATGTTGTTACAGTACTATTGTTTAAGATATCAGACCTGACTGGTTAGCTGGTCGACCAAGAAAAAATCCGGGAGGGTAACCTGTAAGAGAAAAGAAAATTATCAAACACATTCATGAATCATGATCATGAACCAAGCAATTCTTTAGTGTATACAAGTTTTCTTATTGAGTATATACCTTGTAGAGGGGAGCACATAGGCAATGGAATGCACACTGGAGTAGGAAGAAGGTGGGTGTAGACATTGTTGGAGGTGAGCGGAGGCGGTAGAGGTAGGCGGTAGTGGGTGGCGGTGCTGATGAATAATTTACAAGAGGAAGAAGATGAACATTGTTTTTGCCCTTATTTGATATTGTTTTTAAAAAGTTAACCTATTTTTGAAATTTTATTAAAAATATTAGTTTTATTGATATTAGGGCCTAAAAGTTGCCCTTATCAGCTATAATCCCTATATTCTTCCCCCTCATAATTTTTATTCAGTTATACCATTAGAACTTGTAACAATGACAAGTGGAGGATTCCATCAAAGTTTAAGAGAGTAGTGAATCATAAGTGGGGGTGTTGATAAATAAAACAAAAAAATCAATAAAAATTACTGAAGTTGAACAAACCATTAATTTTCCTATTATTAACATGAAAAAAACAATTCATATGGGAGAATACCCCCAATATGGTTTGACCCGAGGCTAGAACAAATGGATAAAAGGAATGCCATTGATGAGGAATTGGGATCCGTTCCTCACAGAGCGCCTCTCACACCGACCTCACAACCACATTCCACCATATATTGGAAACATCTTCTCATAAATAATAAATACAAGTACAGTTCAGAAAAGACATACTGTGAGGTCGATGTAAGGGGTGCCGTGTGAGAAACAGACTGGGACTCATTGAAGAGAGAGCTACAGGTGCATAGATGGTTAAGTACAGACTGGAAAAGACAAGTGGTTGGACTGTGAGTTCGGAATGGTGTAAGCCCTATTTTGTCCAAATTTGGTTCCGATATTTATCAAGCCTACTGAGTGGTCCGCCCCACTTGAGGAGCATGTGGCTCTTACACAATATGCTCCTTGATGAATATTTTTCCCTAATGATTTAGCTTGGAAGGAGTACAAATGCAGATATATAGAGTACAAAATCTTATGTTTTGCATTATTTTGTTTATATTTGCATTGTACATATTTGCATTTATACTCTTTCCAAACTCAGCCTAAAAAAAAGGTTTTATTTGTTTGGAGTGCAAATCTAAATCAGACACTTAATTTAGTTTTAGACCAATTTGTTTGTAATCATGATTTATTATACTCTTATTTAATCTAAAATTTGTATTTTCTTTTGTCTTATTTGCATTAATTGATCTTGCAAGTTTTACATTCCAAAAATTGATACAAAATTTGCACCACCTTTTATCTACTTAAATTTCTAGCTTCTACCATATTTCTAAACAAATAAAATCCTCCTACTACCTTTCATTCTCTTGCATATAGGGTGGGAACAACATTATTTTCATTTCCTATTTTAATTCTCAAAAACAAATAATACAAAGCCAAGTCTGAAGCCCAAGTAAATCAGAATTTTCACCTAGCTTATGCATTTACACAAATGCAAATGAAATTTGCACTTGAACCAAACTGAGCCTAGAATGCATGCATCCAGTTTAACACATTTGGGCCATACCATACGACCATTGGACTGAACAATCAGGGCCAACAACTTGCTAGGTCTGGCTTTTACCACAGATGAATTCTAGCGCCAAAAGCACTGTACACCCCAAAATGTCCACCAATAAAATGCATTTATTCCCAGTTTGACAAGGGGACCATCCAAAAACCAGAACCCTCTCTCTCTCTCTCTCTCTCCTCTTATGCCCATAATCATTAAATCTGTTTATCTGTCTTTACAAGGACCTCTCCTCTAGTGAATATAGACATTAAAACCTTAATTAAATGCCCCAGGTGAAATGCAGGAAGATTTTGCTAATCTGTTTGGTTTGGTTTTGCTTGTTATAGTCTGTCTTAATGAAACCTGAAACAGAATGGATTCACGAGTTACTAATTAATTAACAAAGAAACCATAGAACAACCTCACTCCAATGGTTTATTAACAACTAACAAGTGGAGAGTACAACTAGTTATTTTGCCCATTAAAAAAAAAAACAAATTGGAGTATAAAGAAAAACCAGTAGATGGTTATCAGCTTCATAAGCGTAGCCATGGGAAAAAATGGCATTTCAACAAATAAAAAAGAAAAATTAAACTTGGAGAAAATCTTGACCATGCAAGTACATGAAAACAACACACAACATACAATCAAAACAAGAGAAGACAAAATAAAGGAATTGAAAGAGAATGGGTCTAGCCCCGGTGCATGGAATTCGATCAGTACTCGACTATAAAATATCTCTCAACAATTCTCAAATTATTGGAGAATCGTTCCATCAATTAAGGTTCAGCCCTCATCCGATGGATATGGTTTAGATTGTCCATGTATCATCCCATCCATCCAGGTGGTTCCATGCATGGAGAAGATAGGGCCAATCGTTTGTTTACCATCTTTCTGGTATTCTGGATTTCTGTTTACCAAAATGGTTCATTCTTTATACGTTTTCCAGTGGCTTCTTCTCTATAAATTAATAGTACTACTCGTCTCCAGTATTCATTAATTAGTTTCTTCTCTTTCTCTCTCTCTCTCTCTCTTTCTCTGTGAAGAAAATTCAGGATGTCTTCCGCTGAGGAAATTTACAATGGTACAGTTGTAGCAGACAAGTACCGATCTCACATGCATGGGGAAGCAGAAAAGAACACCAAATGGAGACATGGTGGCCCTCCTATCTATAATCTGGTTAACCAAGTCTTCGAACAAGGTCGAACAAAGGTGGTGTAAGCGTATCCCTTATAACACCTCCATCGGTTGTTGTTTCTGCTGTTCTTGTCGTTGTTGTTGAGATCGTGTTAATGTTTGTCTCCATCTGTTTGTGCATTTTTCAAGAGCTCTGCTACAGTTTTTATATTCCCAATTTGTTTTGATGAGATCTTGTGGGGAGGAAAGACAAACCCATCAATATAATATTAATTTTTTTCCTTGTTATTAACGATCTTCTTGTTTTACACAGGAATGGCCGAAAGGATCATTAGAGGAAACGGTGCAGAATGCTGTCAAAACATGGGAGATGGAGCTCTCTCACAAGACACAGTTGCAGGACTTCAAAACCATCAACCCAGAGAAATTCAAGTTATTCGTCAATGGTGAGCCAACCCACTTCCATCTGTTTCCTTCTCCTCAAGTTTCATCAGTCGTCCAACAGACCTAATTAATTTTGGTTTTGAGGTTGACGTGCGGTAACTGCAGGGAGAGAAGGAATATCAGGGGAAGAAACTCTTAGACTTGGGAGCTACAACGCATTGTTGAAGACCTCTCTTCTTGAGAAGTTTCAGTACTACAAGGCCAACGAAGAGAGCTTCGAGTCGTCTCACGACGTCTTCCAAACGGCTTTTCCTCGTGGGTTTGCTTGGGAGGTGCTGAGCGTTTACTCTGGACCACCTGTGATAGCTTTCAAGTTCAGGCACTGGGGTTTCATGGAAGGTTCTTTCAAAGAACATGCTCCCACAGGGGAGAAGGTTGAATTGCTAGGTTTTAATCTCTGTTAAGTGGGCTTATATATTCAGTGAAATAATTGCATTGATGGGCTATCTTGTAAGTGGGTTAAATCAAGTGATTCATTTAGGCAAAGCCCGTAGACTTCAACAAAAGGGTATGGGGCTTAATGAGTGGATACCACATTTTGGCCCATATAGGCTTAATGGGATCCTATTAGGTCAAAATATAAAGGCTCCTAGGTTATGGTTCCCAATATGTTAAATCATCTAGCCGCCCTCTTGCTCTACCCCATTAGAGTCAAGAGCTGAGAGAAAACCTAATGAAGAAGGAAGATTTAACTAAGGAAAACCACAGTCGACCTACCATTGATTCATCACTCATTCCGCAAAAGTTTCTACTACTGCGATGGATACAGGTATGCACATTTAAACCTCCTTAATAACTGCTGCATGATATTCTTTGGGATGCAACATTCGACCTACCATTGATTCATCACTCATTCCGCAAAAGTTTCTACTACTGCGATGGATACAGGTATGCACATTTAAACCTCCTTAATAACTGCTGCATGATATTCTTTGGGATGCAACATGTCTTCTTGTTCTTCGTACATGAATGATATTGGTATGATTCTGCAAGACTAAGGATTGATTTGCTCCCCTTTATTTATTCTTACAAGTGGTATCAGAGTCATATATCATGTTCGGTTATTAGGATTATCGTTTTTCTTTTTTTTATCGATTTCTTTGTGGTTGCCTCTCGATCGATGGATACAGTCGTTCGGTTGTGTGTGCTTGTTGAACAGCCATGAAGCAAGGCTGTGTCGACCAAAAAAAAAAAAAAACAAGGACGCATTGATGATTCAATGCGGTTTTGGTCATTGATKATTCGGTTTTGACCTTGTCATGAAGATTTTGATTTCAGTCGACAAAAAAAAAAACAGGAGACGCATCGGTGTTGCGTCTTTGCTTGCGATGCCTCTCTGGAATCGGTGTTTCATGTTTGGAACCCAAAAAAAAAAAAATGACGCATCAGTGTTGCGATGCGCCTCTGGAACTCATAGAATGAATTCGCATTGATTCGATGCGTCTACAGAATCGACTCAAAAAAAATTTGGAATCGTGATTTGCATGCACGTAAGCAATTTGCATGTGTCAATTCTTCTCTCCTTTTGCATGGAAGTAACCGTGAACCCTTTTTTAACTTTGTGATGCATGCGATGAATACAGTTTTGGATGAATACTCTTTTTTTTTTCTTTTCAAATTAAATTGATTGATGTAGCATGTTACCAAAGTAGCCTCTGCAATGTAAAATTAATTTGATTTGAAATATAAAGATTTTGTGTGTTCATTGTCCATGTGGACATTGATCGGCCCAAAGGAAGGTTGATGTTTGGTCGGGTAGTGAACACACATGCGATGATGAATATTGATATTGTAAAGCTATTATCCATGTGAATAGTAGTCGGTCCAAAGAAAGGCTATTGTTTGACAGGATTTATTAGCAATGTTTGATTGTTGCATTGAGAGTGCCATTTATAATTGATGCTTCTGTGCAAACACTAAATGTCAAGTTGTGCTGGGTATCTTGCCTTTGTAATTTATATTATTGATTATATGTTGTTTTTGTTCTTTGTTCAGTTTTAGCAACTGCAAATAATGTTTCTGCTCAAATCAGTGCCATTCCCATGCTGAATGGTACAAACTTCAAGATCTGGAAAGAGAATGTGGAAATCGTTCTCGACTGCATGGATTTAGACCTTGCGTTAAGGACGGAGCGACCCATCCCGGCTGAGGACAATTCCAATGAGGCCAAAGTTGAGAAATGGGATTGCTCTAATCGCATGAGTCTGATGATTATGAAACGTTCCATACCGGAAGCGTTTCGGGGCTCTATTTCTGAGAGCAATAATGCTAAGGAATCCCTTGTGGCAATACAACAATATTTCGCCAAGAATGAGAAAGCGGARACTAGCAACCTTTTAGCTACTCTAATTTCTATGAGGTACAAGGGAAAAGGAAATATAAGGGAGTACATACTGGAAATGTCGAATCTTGCCAGTAAACTAAAGGCACTAAAGTTAGAGATAAATGATGATTTGCTCGTGCATTTAGTTCTCATTTCTCTTCCTACACAATTCAGTCAATTAAGGTGAGTTATAATACTCAAAAGGAGAAATGGACTCTTAATGAGCTCATTTTTCAATGTGTGCAAGAAGAAGAAATAATCCAGAGAGAAAATACGGAAAGTGCTCATTTAGCATTAACCTCTCAGAATAATAAAAAGAAGAGGACTAAGGATACTGCAAATGGAATACCCACGCAGAAAAAGGTGAAGAAGCAAGGTGATGGATTTACCTGTTTTTTCTACAAGAAAGGATGACACATGAAGAAAGAGTGTCCCAAATACGCCGCATGGCGCATAAAGAAGGGTATGTCTCTCTCTTTAGTTTGTTCTGAGGCTAATTTAGCTTCTGTACCTATAGACACTTGGTGGATAGATTCTGGCGCTACTTCTCACATAATTGTGTCTATGCAGGGTTGCATCTGGAGTCGACCGCCAACTGATGCTGAAAGATTCATCTATGTAGGCGATGGCAATAAAGTTCCTGTGGAAGTTGTAGGACATTTTAGATTGATTTTAAAAGTTGTTTGTTATTTGAATTTAGTTGAGACATTTGTAGCTTCGTCATTTAAACGGAACTTAATTTCTATTTCCTATTTAGACAAATCTGGTTACTTTTGTGGTTTTGGAAATAATAAAGTTAGTATTTCTCTAAATTCAAATATTATTGGTACCGGTATTTTAATTGATCGTCTTTATATGTTAGAAACTATTGCTTCCCACAATGCAGTCCTGCATGCAAGTACTTAAGGTGCAAAGCGTAAATTAACCGAGAATTCTGCTTCCTTATGGCATAAGCGCTTAGGCCACATCTCTAAACAGAGAATTCAGAGGCTTGTGTCAGACAGAATTCTTGGTTCCCTTGATTTAATGGACTTCCAAGTCTGTATTGAGTGTATTAAGGGAAAATTGACGAACACAAAGAAAATAGGTGCCAATAGATGTATGAAAGTCTTAGAACTGATACATACGGACATCTGTGGGCCATTCCCTACGCCTGTATGGAATGGCCAGCAATACTTCATCACGTTCATAGATGACTATTCGCGGTATGGGTACCTATACTTAATAAGTGAGAAGTCTCAATCCCTGGACGTTTTCAAGTCTTATAAAGTTGAAGTTGAACTTCAACTTGGTAAGAAAATTAAAGCCGTCAAATTTGATCGTGGCAGGGAATACTATGGCAGATATGATGGATCAGGAGAGCAACGTCCAGGACCCTTTGCTAACTTCCTAAAGGAATGTAGTATCGTCCCACAGTACACCATGCCGGGTACACCCAGCATGAATGGTGTTGCTGAAAGACGAAACAGGACACTTAAGGACATGGTGAGGAGCATGATTAGTCATTCTTCTTTACTTGAATCACTTTGGGGATAAGCATTAAAAACTGCAGTGTATATCCTTAACAGAGTACCCAGCAAAGCAGTAACTAAAACCCCGTATGAGTTGTGGATTGGGAAAAGACCCAGCATAAGGCACCTACACATTTGGGGATGTCCAGCTGAAGCGAGGCCTTATAGGCCCAACGAAAGGAAATTGGACTCTATGACAGTTAGTTGTTACTTTGTTGGATACGCGGAACGTTCTCGAAGGTTCAAGTTCTATGATCCCACTACCCGCTCATTCTTTGAGACGGGAAATGCGAGATTTCTTGAAGATGTTGAGTTTGGAGGGGAAGAATTAAGGAACGTCTCTTTTGACGAAACAGTTGTCTTGCAAGAAGAGAAATTCTCTTCCTGATATTATTATCGCCAGTGATCATACAACAATTCCTGACACTGTTCATGAAGCGATTCCGGTTCAAGACAACAATGAAGTTCCTTCCATAGAGCAAACTCAATAACCTCAAGAAGTGCCATTGAGGAGATCCAACAGACAAAGGAGAAGTGCGATTCCATATGACTATATCATGTTCCTCATAGAACAAGAAGATTCGGTAGGCTTAGCGGAAGATGATCCAATCACCATTCGCGAAGCCCTTCAAAGTTCTAATTCTCAACATTGGATCAATGCCATGCAAGAAGAGATGAAATCCATGAAAGACAATAACGTTTGGGATCTTGTCGAGTTGCCTAAAGGCTCGAAACCCATTGGTTGCAAATGGATATTTAAAACCAAAAGGGATTCAAAAGGCAATGCCGAAAGATATAAGGATCGTCTAGTCGCCAAAGGTTTCACTCAAAGGGATGGCATTGATTATAAAGAGACATTTTCTCCGGTTTCTTCGAAGGACTCCTTTAGGACAATAATGGCACTTGTAGCTCATTTTGATTTAGAGCTACATCAGATGGATGTAAAGACAGCGTTTCTCAATGGAGACATTGATGAAACGATTTATATGGTTCAGCTAGA